AGAGTTTTGACGACGCCAGAGCCCCCCCCCACCCCCTCCCCCCGTCGCCGTGCAGCCGGAGGTGCTGGTCGACCCACCGCGAGAACAGCCCGCGGAGGGCGGCGTCCCCGAGGTTCACCTTCACTTCGTCCTGCACCGAGCGGCCCTTCGGCGCCCGTAACGCCGCCGCCGCTGCCGCCGCCGCCGCCGCCGCCGGCCCCGGCCCTGGCTCCGCTCCTGCCGCCACACCCTTCGGTGCCGCCGCCACCGTTGCACCCGCCCCGCCTTCCACGCTTCCATCCGCGGTCCCCCCTTCCGCCGTCTTCGCGACAGCCGCCCCCCCCTTTCCCTGCGACGCAGACGGCAAGGGCGAAGACAACGAGGAGGAGGATGACGGTGCGGGCTGCCGGGAGAACTTGGGTTCCGTCGCGGCCTCCTCCGTCGCCACCACCCCGTTGTCCGCCGCCGCCGGCGGCGAAGGCGACGGCGATGGCGACGGCGACGGCGACGGCGACGCGAGGAGCGTCTGGCGCTCCCCGCGGGCGTCCACGGCGTACAGCTCGCCGTCGAAGACGTTGCTCTCCGACAGGGACACGAGCGGGGTGCCCAGGTGTGTGTCCACCGTGAACCACGGCCGCACCGCTATGATCTCGAGGAGGGAGCGCTCCTTGTCCTCCAGCACGGTCCCGGGGGGGTAGGCTTCCACTTGCCGGGCCTTGGTCACGTCCCACAGGGCCACGTTCGGGAGCGGGCGGGCGTCGTCCTCCGTCAGCACGTGCCGCCTGTCATGAAATACACGCAATCACGTCAACAGACCGACCCAGCACGTTAGACACCGGTGACCCCAAGCCCACACATCTCGCCGATACGGTAGAAGCACCCCACTTATTGCATATTTAATGGCAGTACTCGCCCCGGGTGCTGCGCCTGGGGAAGTAAAGCTACAACTCTTTTTTCGGAAAAAAAAAATGGGACAAAACAAAACCACCGCTCGCACGAACACCACAGAGATATGCCAAGCGTCCCTCGGCAAGCGAACACGCGCACGCCCCCACACACCCCAACCCCCACCTCACTCACCTGTTGTTCAGGACCTTGTGTCTAACTACCCCCGGCTGGCCGCGAATCAGCCCGACAGGGGCGTCCAAGAGACACCCGCCGCGTTCGCCACCCATACCCCCTGCTTCTCCTCCCCCCTCCGCTGGGTCCTCGGCGAACGGCGGCGTGACGCCAAACACGTCCATGTCCATGTCGTCTTCCTCCGCCCTGTCCCCTTCGCCGTCCGCCACCGCCGACGCCCCGGCCGATGCCGCTGGGCGACCGGATCGGAGCACTAGGCCCCCGCCGCTTGCCTCACCCCCCCAAAGGGCGATGTGGGGCTGCGTGGAGGAGAGCCACATGGACATGGGCTGCTCGCAAGAGTCGGTGCCGTCGCTGCCCCCTTCTCGACCTGAAACCCGTGGTATGTGTAAGTATTCCGCGTTGCCCCCCGGGAGTTTGCGGCCGAGCCCGCACATGGGTCGCGGAGAGGGGGCGACAGAGAAGGTGGCCAATGGAAATAGTTAGTTAACACCGAGACTGATCATATAGCTGCTGCAATCGTCCAAACGTCGCGAGCCTGTGACCCCTTTGGGGGTGCCGTACACGAAGAAGATATCAATCGCAAAGACGTGGCCGTCGCCTACAAATCCGGCGATCCTTGCGCCCAACCCCCGTTCAACAGCACTCACCGAGCTCGAGCTCCATGTCCAACACTTCCGAGTCGGTCACGCACACCAAGGAGCTCTCTCCAGTGCGGAAGTCGGTACGATAGACCCGCCTCCCTCGGCCACCACTATAGTACACGTCCAAGTCGCAGGGGCTGTGCAAACACGCCGCCGGGGAACAGAACAACAACGAGACAAACGCGGTGCTAGGGGGTGAAGGTCGACCAATAGGAGCAGCGGGAGCGGCGGAGACGGCGGTAGCAATGGAGGAACCAAACTCGAAGCGAGAAGCAAAGGCGTGAATCGTGGAAAAAAATCAAAAGAGGTACCCAAAGGTGGTCTGCGTGAACACCGAAGGTCGACTTCGACATCGACGGGAGGGGGTGAGGGGGTGAGCACAGTACGTCTACCGCGCCGTCTGAATCAACCACTACTGTAGTAGACTTAAAGCTGCAGGTTACAGCACATTGCAGGCCACCACCTTCATATGGGGAAGGAGGGCCCACATGAAACAACCCCCCAACCACCAAACAACACAGTAGCTAAGAAGGCACACATGGCACCCCCCCCCCCCCCCTAAAGTCGCCCCTGAAGTGTGTTCGAGGCCCTGTACAATGTAGACGAGAACTCGCACTGCAAACCTCGAGTCTACCATGCACAACATACAACCACCACCACCACCACCACCACCAACCACCACCACCAGCTAACAACAACAACAACAACGCCCAACGCCCACGGGGGGTCGTGTCGTGTTTCCGCGTGTGTTGCTCGTGTCTCAACAAAGGGCCTTATCCTTGCCA